GAAAGGTGAAGTGTTTGGGTCCGGCCGGCCTGGCTCTTCTGGCCTGTCAGCCCCGTGACGAGGGGAGGAGCAGCAGCAGCCGCCAGCAGGGACACGAAACATTTTAAGAAGCTCTTAACTCGACTCTTATGACGTTTATGCAGGGCGTACGTCCCGCATGGGCCCGCGGCCCGTAAAGCTCGCTGCCAGCCACTAGTGGCCAGGCCGTCGGCCATCCGTCAGGCGGTTTATGAGACGAGCAGGCGTTTTATTATTAATTGTGAATGTTGCAGGCCGGGCCCCGGGCCGGGCCGCGCCGGCCGTGCGTGCGTTACTATCGTGCGGTCAACGCGCATCATTGTTTTCGCGCTCGTCAACAGGGCCGCAGGAATCAGCAAGAGGAGACCGTCCTGGTGGGAACACCGCCGGTTTGCGATGTGCGGAATCAGGAGCGCGAGCGCAAAAAAATGGGGGGCGTCTTGTCTTTTACGTCTGATCTGAGATTTATTTTTCCTCTTCTTCTTTAGGTCCCTCGCGTCTCTGCTCCGCACCGCGTTTACAGCTATCGAGTTCGCGGTGGGAACGAGACACTTGTTGTCATAACAGTGATTTGCATAATTTGAACATACAAAAACTTAAAATACAGTCATCACAAGAAACAAATCAACATCATGATATAAATCTTTTTAAGTACACTTAAAACGTTTTTCTCCACTCACAAGGAAAAAAATTAATTCATAAATTATCGTCTAAGAATATTTACGGTGGGTACACTCCTAGTAGAAATACAGGCTCAAACATAATTTCAACAAAACGAAATAAAAACATTATATTACAAAAACACATTAACCACATATCAATTTTCATTTGCACTCTGATAAAACTGCTATACTATGGGTTTTAATACAATAAACACATAATTACAAGAGCGGACACTGCAGATGGCAAAAGGGCGTCATCTAGCACCGTCCAGCACCAATCTCTTCTATTCGATAAGAGAATGGTGCCATATAGGCTATACTCTGGAACAGGACCTAAGTCGCAGCAGTGGGCCGGGAAAGGAGACAGAGTTACGATATGGCGACCCAGGCCAAACTTATGGAGTCCTCCGCCACACAACACAAGTATATGGTACACTTGGGATCCACACTTGAATAAAATACAAACTTTTACAGATATCACAATAATGTTTTCAGCGCGGGTGCGGGCCTCAGCCGCGGGGCCTTAGTACGGCCGCCACACGGAGGGGTCGGCCTGCCGGCTGTCGTGCTGCTGGGGGTAGCGGCTCAGCTCCTGGTCGTGCTCGTCGCTGCCAGGCCCCGCCATCACACTGTGTTGTTGCTGTTGTTGTTGTTGTTGTTGTTGTTGTTGTTGCTGTTGTTGTTGCTGCTGCTGTTGTTGTTGCTGTTGCAGGTCAATGCCAATCTCGATCCCCCTGGTGCCCCCCGAGCACACGATCGTGGCCACGTCGTCAAACTGGTGGTGCTGGTGGTGCGGCGGGTGGAGCGGCAGCTGGCCGTGGCCCGCGGCCCCCGTCACGTCGGCGGCCACCGCCACGGCCTTGGCCGCCGAGCTGAGCGCGCTGAGCTCGCCGCCGCTCGGGTTGTGGTGCAGGTGGAGGTGGATCTGGTTCTGGTTGACTGTCGAGTACAGGTTGGGGTAGAGCACCATGGGGTAGGGCTGCGGGTTGGCGGCCGGGCTCTGGTAGTTGTAGTTGTAATTGTAGTTGGCGGTGCCGGCGCCCCAGCCGTGGTGGTAGGCGTTGGTGCCGCACGGCGCGGCGCCGTACGGGTCCTGCGCGCCGTACGCGGCGACGGCCGGCGGCGCGGTGGCCGAGGCCAGCGGCGCGGCCAGGGGCGGCGGCCCGCTCGACGCCGACCTGGCGCCGCCGTGGTGGTGCTGCGAGTGGTGGTGCGGCGGCGTCGTGGCCGATGCCAGGCCGCAAAGGCCGTCGTACTCGGCCGACGGCGGCGACGACTTGAGCGGCGGCGTGAAGAGGCTCGTGTAGTCGCCGGCGCCGCCGCCGCCCCCGGGTGTCGTGGCGCCCACGGGCACCGTCCCCGAGGAGGCAGCCCCCGGGACGGAGCCGTGCTCCGACAGCACTGCGGGAGCAAAGAGGAGTCAGGTCAGTTCAGCTCTCAGCAGAGACGCTCAGAGCGAGGACAAGCCCGCGGCGCAGGGCCGGAGGGGCGGCCTGCCCCGCAGGTGCAGACCTACCGGTGGGGAGGTGCGTCATGGTGCCGTCCGGGGGCATGGTGTTGGCTCCCGCGTGGACGGGCGTCGCCGTGGGCCCCAGGTCGCCGCCATAGGAGTAGGCCGGGGGTTGCAGCGGCGAGTATGACGACGCGTACGTCGGCCAGGAGGACTCCGTCGAAGGCACCCCCGAGCAGGACTCTGGAAACAGAAGCGTGAGCGTGAGGAAGGGCCTCTCCGGTCTCCCTCGACAGAGCGCGCCATACTTGGCTCGGGAAACAATTACAAGACACACGACGCGTTTGGTCCGGCCGGCCTGAAGAGCGACGAGAGCCCGTGCCCGTGGGGAATTACAATCATTCCCGGACAACTACATTTGGACATTTCGGAGGGTCAGTTTGCCGCAGAACGACACGACGCCTGCGGACGTGACCTCTCCCCGCCCGACGAGACGACTTTGTTTTATGAGAGCTCAAAGCGCTGCTCGAGGTGTCTTTACCGAGACGCTCAAGTGCATCAAATTTTCATTTCCTTTTTTTGTGTCTGTCTCTGTCCCGGAGTGGCTCGTCGGCGCGGAGCGCGGTAGCACGCGGCTACCTCCAAAGGGAGGGGCATAAGTAGGAGGGGGAGGGGAGAGGAGAGGGGGAGGAGAAAATGAGTGGGAGGGGAGGGGAGCGGTGCAAGCGGTCCACCTTAGCACCTCATCTCTCCTTCTCACTCTCCCCCCCCCTCCACCCCTCCGCGGCCCCGCGCTGCGCCCGCCGGCTCCCATTACAAGTCCAGCTTCACCCGCCGCCATTTTCTTTCGGGGCGTAAGTATACTACCAAGACCATCCCATCCCGCCGCTTGTTTGCTTTTGTTCTGTCGAATATGAATCTACGAGTCCCTATGGAGCGGAGCTACTGGAACCTTCAAAAATAATGCTTGAATCAACCTAGGCAATTACAGCATTACAGAAATGAATGGACGATAGCCACCCGTTTGGAACCACCGACAACGAAGCAGTCGGCGGGAAACAACAGCGTTCAACCGCCAGAGCTGTTGGCTGGCGCGTCGCAGATCGAGTCAACCTCGGAAGGGAATGCCAGACTACCGATCAGGCGTTTTGCACACTCAAGGCTCAGGCGGATTCTAGGACAAATTGCCTATCCACCTGGTGACGGCGAAAGGTGCGGAGATTTTCTCTGGATCTTCACCTGCTAGTTGGACACCTGGTGCCTGTCGAGACAATATGCCTACGATTGCCAACAGCCTGTCAACCGAGCTGTCGAAGGGCCACGTCGCCTGCCTGTCCGGCGTCCTCCCTCCCTGGCGCCAAACCGAACCATGCCGCACGGTAAACCAGCCATGCTAATCTCTGCAATTATAGCCACATACACATTACAGCAGCGGCGGGTAATGGCGGGTCAGAAACAAGACAATCACACTCGGTAATGATCCCCAGGCGGCCCCCGAGCCGAGTGAGCCCGCTCAGCGGCGCTCGCAGCAGCCCAGCCCAGCCGAGAGGGCCAGCCCAGCCTCTGTCCTCACACGAAGCTCTATACTCTCCACCCCTCCCCCAGAATACGAGGCAATTTCCTCGTTTCCACCAAAACGATAAATGTTACACCGGTGTATTTCCTGCAGGGCCGGAAGCTGCAGCTGGCTGAAAGCCGTCGGGGCCGGACTAAAATTTCAGCACATTTATAGAAGCATATTATTACTATCAAGGAAAACGTATTCGTTTAACCGTCCCTAGCGAATACAAATTCGAAAACGTTAGTTTTCTGGGAGGTTTTCATGGCCGTGCAGCGCCACCTCCCCTGCCTCGCTCACGTCCGCCGGATCAGTTTCCTTGGACTTGAGATGACACTTTATAGCCTGATCAGTTCGATGCAGGAAACGGGCGAGGCTCGTGCCGGGCTGTGAGGTTTCTCCGAGCCCCAGCAGGGAACTTCTAGAAGAGTTGTTGGAGTCCTAAAAATTTCTTTCGGTTCATGTGTCAGGGTCACCGGCTATGATCCCCGATGGATTGGCTTAACGATCACCATAACAGCAAGGCCGTACTACGATAGACGAAGACTCGTCTCTAGTTGACGTTATTTCCGTTTCAGGCACTTTCTAGTCCAGCGCTTCAGGGGACTGATGTGAGGTGCAGAGTTTCAAAGGCGGTCCAGTGCACCTGGCTGGCTGCCCGCTCACCATACACCTGTCACTGGAGTGGCGAGGTGTCAACCACCCGAGGCGCTGCTCTGTTTACAACGCAGCCTGTTGCTCAAGTTCATCACGGGCGGTGATTTAGGGAGTGGGGAAAGGGGAAGGGACGGGATACCAATGTAAGCCTGTGCGTGGCCGGCTGCATCAACGCCTGCTTACTAGGCCAGGCCACACTCACACACCTGTCTCGGTGGTATTGTTTAGGTATTGCCCAGGGTTCGTCCTGAAAGTATGTCAGTATTCCTCAGATTCATTCGGCAATCTACAGGAGCTCGGCGCCTGCGCGACTCAAGGTAGGCCACCGCGTGGTGCACGCATGAGCTGCAGGTAAGATGTTGCCTACCGATCAGGCGCTCTAAAGGCTTGCATCGGCAGTTTCGCATCAGCGAATGACGGGCGTGCTTTCTGGATGACCCTTTAGTAGGTAGTACATATAGCTGTATACCAGCGCATGAATGGGAACTTTGCCTACTTTGAACTGGCAGCACGGATTCGACAGCTGGATTCGCGCCGGCGTCACACATGTCAGGAGGAGCGCGACCCCCGCGTACCAGAGCTCCGAGTTGCGCACGATCATATGTACACGAGTCCAACAAGGCCGCTATGGAGTCTGTGATAGGTCTGACGCGTAGCATTGTGAATTGTGGAGCGCATAGTCTTCTCAAATCGCTCTTCTCTCTCTCTCTCTCTCTCTCTCTCTCTCTCTCTCTCTCTCTCTCTCCCTCCAGCAGCTACTGTCATTCCTCCGAGCGTGGGAAAACGACCTCGGCTTGACTGCCGTTGCCTCGATGCGCACCTCGGAGCAACACCCGCCCGCCACTCGCCCGCCTCCCCCCGCTCGCTAACCCGCCCCACCACGGCCTGCATCTTGCATGCTTGCTCGTAGTAGCTATTTCCGTGTGCGTACTGTGAACTTGAAGATTCCGTGCAGTTACTTCAAATGATGAATCGACAAAGTCGCAATTAGTCTGCTTGGAGACTTCAATGCCGGTCGCACAACTTAGAAACATATTGCTGACGTTAAAGTTGTTTCCAATAGAGTCAACACCGTACAGATAAAGAAAGCGGCAGGGTTTTACTTCCAAGTCCAATCCCATCTCTTATACCCTCTAACTCTTCATCCAAACGGGTGGCCGGTAGCATAGTTTTCTGCCCTATCCATCGTGTGATTGGAAACTCTCGTAGCAACAGCCCAGGCAGACCCGAAAAAAGTTTTTGATCAGGTCAGATTGGTCCGGGTGATGGGGCCTCTGCGCCGCTCGGCGCTTAGAAATTGGACATGCTCCGAATTGGACCAGTCCGACTGGGCTGTGATTGGGCGGCGCTAGGCAGCGCTAGGCCCTACCCGCCGAGGGGCCGGGCGCGGCCGGGCACCGGGCACGGCATGGCCAGACGTAAGAAATACACTGCAAGCCAACGGAGCGGCTGAGCTACTGGAACATTTTTGAAATTGTTTTCTCGCAGTTGACGAACCGAAAATACGCAAGCAGGCCCTACCACTGTGACGTCAGAGAAGAGGAGAGAGAGAGAGAGAGAGAGAGAGAGAGAGAGAGAGAGAGAGAGAGAGAGAGAGAGAGAGAGAGGAGAGAGGGGGGGGGGGTAAAATGAAGGAGCAGGAATGAGAGAGCGAGACAACGAATAACTTAACACATACATGGTAGATGGAATCACGTCTGCCTGCGCCCATGCCCATTGCACTGCGTCGGTACAGCCTCCATTACCTGCTGCGTGCCGCCACCGACTCCACCGGCTGGACTCGGATCGTTTTGCACTAGAGGGCGCTGCCGGAGGCAGCGGGTCACTCACACGATCCCACGAGAGTGAGAGAGAGAATTCTGACGTAATTTCTTTAGGAACCAAGGATCAACCAATTGGGAGGGTCTGCAATGTGGTCACTGTGTGCGTCAGTGTCAGTCTAGGGTCATTAGTAAAACATGGTTTTGAGTTTAAAATGCATGGGAATAAGTTTCGCCAACTCAGTGATCCAGAAGGAGAATGCGTTTGGAACAACAGCAAGCGGCCTAAAAAATACATGTAAAGTGACAATAATTCAAGGACTCTGATGAAAAAATTCAGCAACCCAAAGTTTACTGTATTGCGAAACCAATATCACCTTGACACCTTGACTGCACTAGCTGACGACTTGACTTAAAGCACCACAAACCAACCTAATTTCAAATACTCAGGGTCTGTCTCTCTCTCTCTCCCTCATTATTGCAGCTATGCTGATACACTGCTGCAGTTTTGTGAAACTTTACACATATCACAGTTTGTTTTGTGTGTACACTACTGCTGCTAAAAATTGTTTTTTTGCGGCCATAGAGTGCACAGCAACGTGGTCGAGCATGGTTTTGTGACAAGGTTTGTGTAACCATCCCTTATATAGGTGTGCCAGGCAGGCGGACTCAGGGTCACGCACTCGCGCGCCACACACACACACACACACACACACCATCTGCCGCGGCGCCCTGGGCAGCAGGACACGGACAGCCACCCCTGCCACGGAGGCTCCACAGCCCCACTCCAGCGAGCGGCTTTTGTTGTCGCTTTCATGCAACCCGGCCAAATTACCCACACGAATAACCGATCACCTAACGAACGCACGCGAGCCCTCTACGCACCGTGGTGGTACAACTCTGTGGGTGTGTGGGGG